ATTTCATTTACACAATATACACATACAAATTCTCTCGTTACTCTGCCGCTTTTTCTTCGGATCACCACTGACTTGAGCGTCGGAGTGTTCGCGCCGGGACCACCCCCGGCGAGTTTTGCAGGTACCGGCGATCAAGGAGACGTAACCCGGTTCGAAGAGGAGCGGTCCAGCGGTCCAGGTTTGTGTGGTATAACATAAACATAAAATAATGGAAGAAAAGCAGAAGAAAATTCTCTACTGGCCTTCCAAAATTAAAATTTCTCCAGCTATTTCAATTTACAAAACATGAAAACACGCACACGCAGAGCTATGTCCGATGAAACAATTTAAGGATATTCAAACTGCATGACAATCCTGACATCCTGTTAAATACAAGGAAATGAGCCAGTCTACACTGTACATATACTCTCGTCTGAAGCTTCATTCAATGCTTTTTTATCTAAAAAACTAATAACAAGTTAGTTTAGATCAACCTGGCCAATCATGTAGCCAACGACTTCAGCTAAGACCCTCCGAAAGAATCATTCAGCAATCAGTATTCCATATGTTGAAGGGAAGGAGGATCAGTCCATGTCTTGTGCGCACCTGCAGGCTCAAACATTTCTGGCTCAATACATAATTTGCATCATAAGACAAAGTTTGTGATCACGTAAAATACTACCTTTTAAGTTTAGCCCAATCACAGAATGTAGGAAAGAGAAAAAGCATCTAATTCCGAGGAGGTCATTGTAATTTTAGAATTTGAAAGGATGCTTTCGACAACTAGGCTAAGATTTGTGGTAAATTTTATAAGGGTAAATAACTTTTTACTCCCAAATTATCACGCGTTTTGCATCTTCATATATCAACTATTTTTTTTTTTTTACAATCAGCCATACGACCTGCAATTGTTATTTTTTTATTTTTTATTTTTTTTGTTTTTTTCATTTTATTCACCGGAACCGGATAAATTAAGAATGGTTTTGGTTCAAATAGGTGGTTTGCATGGATGTTTTGGTGATTACAATCTTTCTAAAACAATATTTTAAGTGGATATGAACAAAATGCAGTATGGATCATGTAGTTTCTCGGAATTCAATTAGTAGTACACAAAATGCAGCATGCAAGATTGTTATTATATATTCCTTATATTTACCAAAAGGGAAAAGTTCTGTACATTTCTATTTACAGAGTTCCATTTACCGAAACACCTAAAATTCCACCCTTGTAAACTAAATACTTGAACATAGATTTTTCTCTTCCTTGTTTTTTCTTTCTTCGAAAATTAGCTTTCGACTGAAATTCAATTTTTCTCCAGTTTAATACTCTTACTTTGATTATTTATTATCATTATTGTTAATTTGAATACCTTCCGCAAATCGTTGACAATTAGATACTTTATCTTTCTCCAACTATTCAGAAGAAAATGTTAAGAAGTTACAAGTTTTTTTTAATTATGTTTTGGGTAATTTAGCTCTTTCAAAAAGAAACTGTTGCTTGACCTCGTGTTTCAAACTAAAATAAATGTTTATTTACAGGCTAAGAGGCACTGAATAATTAAAGCAATAAACAGACGGTATGTACCTCGTAGCTCCACTTCCCTCCATTCTTGGACAAGTGCACAACAACAGCACATCAAATGTGACAAGAAATCATCAAACCAACCGCCCTACATAGGTATTAGAATCAATGCAACTGCACAGATAGTAGTTATGCACTAAAAGTAGACGCATATTCTGAAGTTCAGCAACCAAGAGAATGTGAATAATCTATGCACATCAAGAATCTAGCTCATATGAAATCAAAGAGTGAGACTTCCAAAAATTTAACACTAACCCCCAAATTACAGTTTTAACATTACCATTAAGCAGTTTCGCTGCATAATTCTGCTTAATTTGAAACTTGTTTCGCTGCAAAATTATAAATACCCCTTGACCTCTATTTCTAATTTACAGTGGCTAAGATATACAGACCTCGAGGGCCTGAAATAACTTAAAGGGGTATTTTTAGTTTTAGATGCTAAATGGAATTTCTTTCTTTTACTCCGGTAAGTTCAGCTATCGTGATAATCCATAATCTGTATTAACTGCAATAACATTTACAGAAGATATCAGTAAGAAGTACAAGAATGAGTTACCTTGATGTTAAGAGTCCGTCTGAGCTTTCCTCTGAGACAACATGTGTAGCAACAACATGATAGTATCAGTGAATATGCCATTATGTCATTACAAGTCTGGGCCGAAGCTGTTGTATTAAAAACCTTGATATGTTACTCCCCTTTATGAAATTTTACAAAATTACCATTCCATTGCAATTTAATTATGGTTAATAATTAAAATGCACATACATATTTCCTTGCCAGTTGCCACAGATGCTATCTTCGAAAGTGTATCACAAGGACAAACAAAAGTTTTTATACCTGCAATTATAACATTTTGAAAATTACTACGATTTATACACTGGAAGTATCGATGATAATACTTCAAATATAGTCAGATGTCTGTCATCGATGAACTAATCAAGAATTATGTTAGCATGTGCCACAGTTAATTATAAATATACACCATGCTGAAGCCCAAGAAATATCAAGCTTAAGAATCTTTACAATTATCACCAAACACATAGAGCCAAAATATTCATCAAGGTTACATAACTCGAAAATACCCAAGACAGAAATACTCGAGAAGGTATCAACGTATCAGATAACATATATGCTCATGAATGAGACCAAGAATATGCCAGATAGGAGAGCCTGAGGAATATATATAACAAAATTGATAATTCGATACTGATTTGTGACTGACACAGTAAGCTTGGGTTTTCAATAGCGGGGTAATTGGTAGAGGATCTGATTAATTTTTAGAAAGCAAGAGGGCCAAATTAAAATGACCAAAAAGAGAAACTATGAGAGAAAACGCCACATCTCACACTACATTCTTACATAATTCCAGTACATGCAAATGAAACCATTGACAAAAAAGAACATACTCAAGTAAGGTTCAGAACAACAGCCAAGAAGATCCGCATGCCACTCGTCTTGCCCAGTCAACTCCCTCATTGATGCTGTATCATACCCTGATGACTTCTTGACTTCCCTACTGCAAGAGATACATTTTGACAAGAATCCAGAATAAACCAACCTTCTGTTTAATAAAAGTAAAGAAAAGGGAAAATAATTTGAACTATCATTTAAAATTACAAATAGCCCCTTTGAGAATAGTTTCAAAGGTATTTTCCAAAGTCCACTAGGTAAACATTTCCTTCGGAGCCTATAGCGAGTGACGAACCTTGAACTTTTCGAGTTATCAACTTTCTCGCGATCCTTTTCACTTGAAAAATGCTCCTTGTCCGAATCTGATGTCCATGAAGCCTTACATGGCATATCTTGGTCCCCCCCAGGAGTTGTTGCCGCATATTCAGTAACCTCCATCAGGCGCTCGATCACCTGGCACTGGCTCACGTCCATGTTAGCCTGTGAGTGCTGGAGTTCGAGCTCAAGCTTCTTGCGTTCCTTTCTTAAGGCCTTGTCTACAGGCACATTCCCATAAGAACAAGACAGACTTTTTTTCAAGATTATCATGTCATTTTGGGAGAGGGCGTCCTGGACTTTCCTGTCATCATCATCTAATGTGTACTCACGCTGGTCCCTCTCAATTTCTTCGAGCCTCTCCTAGATATTAAAAGAAATTCATGATTTTTGTAAAGAACATTTGAAACAAAATCGGGAAATAGCTCGAAGCATTCCCAGAAATAGTAATGTGCTCGATACACAACGAGAAATTAGTGGAGAAGGTCTAGTATCAGGTAGCCAAGGAATAACATATCCCAAAATAAGCACCAAACAATACCCTAAAACTGATGTTAATCGAATAATTTCGATACAAGAACCAGAGTCGCAATTGTTTCAACAATCAATCAAAATCCATCTTGATCCCTTCATTCTGGAAATCAAATAATAGAGTTTTAGGGATTAAGGGTTCATAATCCACATAATAATCACACAACACACAACCATGAAGACGACTTGAAGCATTGCCAGAATCTACCAGGCCCCATTCACTTTTTCACTTCATCATTCACAATCTCAAAAATAAATAATAATTTAAAAAAAAAAAAAAACCCACAAAAATCCAGTTAATTACCTTTACTCTAGCGTTATCAATGAGGGCAATTAGAGGTATAATCCTCAAATACCGATCGATTTCCTCCTGAGCCCTCCTGAACTGATAGACTATATTCCAGCCCATGGCCATCAAGTAGAGATAGCTTCTTTCCTGGCAGCTGTTGACGAGAAGATAAGCCCTCCTCAGAGCATCCTCGAGCTGCTCCAATGGCTCCCTCGTCTCGGGGTACCTCTTCAGCTCCGTGATCTTCAGCTGCTCCAGCAAATTCCCAATCAATTTCACATGCAGCGCGAATTGCCTGCAGTTCTTCTTGTGCATTCTGGCCGTGTTCGCCGCCTTGGCTATAAGGCCGATCAATGCGACGGCGTTTAGGCCCGTCAACTGGATGACGTTCGCCACCTCCCCGAAATGCTCCCATGACGCCATTGTAACGGCTACCAATGGCGAGCTCAAGAACCTGAAGAGAAGAAAGGGGACAAGAAGGCTAACCGATCGCCATGGACAGATGGGGCAATTGTGTATGTTTGTCTTCACTAAAACATGAATAATTATAATAGTTGGTAGTGGGGAGGGTATAGTGCCATTGACTTGTGGAATTTGGGTTGAGGACAAGTGTTTGCAGAGGTTTCGATGCTTGTTTCACCTTTCCTTTCCCATAATAACTCACTAAAGCTCAGTATAACAACCCACAATTACTATTCTAAAACTCGGGCTAGGCGCTAGGCGGTATCCGGCCACTTCCAATTTGTACAAATCGATCAAAAAAATCAATCAGGCGGCCCTAGGCTCGGCGGTTAGGCAATTAAGCGTCCTAGGCGGACCTAGGCGCTCCTAAGCGGGCTCGGCAACAATTTTTCAGTTTTTTTAAATATTAATTATATTATTTTGTTCGCAAGCTTTTCCTTATAATATATTAATATATTATTTGGATTTAGGTTTGTGGATTTATTATAAGTTATATAGTTTTATTTTTTAGGTAATTAAAATAAATAAAAAATAAAATATTTAATATTGATATTTAGGCGCCGCCTAAGCCCTGACTAGGCGCTAGGGCTAATCGAGCGCTTACCGGGCGCCTGACGACTTTTAGAACACTGCCCACAATAAATAAAAATGTACATTTATAGTATAAATCTTATATTTTTATTCACATATATAACTATCTTCGTATATCCATTTATATAATCTTTATCCAGTGCAAAAGGTTATGCAAATGAACCTGTCGCATATCCATTGTAGGCAATATTTGAATAGAAAAAATTATTATTATCATTTTTTATAAATTGTCCAAACTCACTTATTAGATTTTGATTTTTTCTTCATTTTTTTTTTTTCCTAGGATATTTGAAGAACGATTGCATCGCACGACTATTAGGTTTAATTTGACTTTGGAAAATGGAACTAGTTGAAAACAATTAAAATTCGGTATATTAAAATAATACTATCTCCTATTCTTTTTGCATGTTATTTTGGCATTATCAACTATTAACCAAATAAATGTCATTTTGGATATTTTGTACACATTTATTATTATCCCCCTCTAACTAAGAAATACATTACGTCTTTTCATATTCATTTTTCATCTTTCCTCAAAACATTCATTTTTATCCTCATTAATGGGGGTTATTATTGGCAAAAAAAATATTCTTAACAATTGTGCAACTTCTCAAAACGACACTTATTAAAAATATGAGGGAGTATTTAACTAACCATCACTTAGTTGTAAGTTAAACTATTTAAGTTAAAGTGACGGTTACTTAAAATTATGTGAGTTGATGAATAATAAATTAATGTTGTTGTGGTGTGTATGCATGATTGATTAATATTATATAATTACACTGATAATATTGATGATAGTACGGTTGCGATTAAAAAAAGATGGTTGAGTTAAATTTTTTTAAAGCTTCCATAAACAAGCGTGCTCTTAGTTGCTATCATGTGGTCACCTTAACAAGGAATGCAAGTCTGTAAGTGCATATATATTAGAGTGCATGAGTGTTTGTGTTACTTTTGGAAAGGAATTGACCTATAACGAAACAAGTGGGCTTCACTTGCTTTTTGCTGTCAACTTAAGATATTAATTGGATATAGGACAACACAATAGACATGGCCACGGGCGGCCCGGCCCGTGGCCCGACCCGTGACCCGGTACCGGATCGGACTGGCCCGGTACCGGTACCGGCATGAATAGTGCCGGGTTCGAGAACCGGACCGCGGCCAATCCGGTCCGGTTAAGGGTCATGGTTTTTTTTTTTTGTCCCGGCGGGTCGGGCCGGGCCAATTTTTTTTGCTTTCTTTAAGGGCCGTACCGGCCCGTGAACTGCCGGGCCGGTGAACCGGCGATAGAACCGGCCTTTCGTTCTTAGCGGGCCGGTCGCGGTTCGGCTGTTTGAGGGCCCGTGGCCCGGCGGGCCGGGCCGGGCCCGGACTCGGCACCTGACCACGTCTACAACACAACAACAGAGATGGTAAAATTAGTCTTTGAGGTGCAGCAGTTCTAACTCCATTTGCATGCATTTTTTAATGTTTAAGATGAGAAATTAGTCAAAAAGGGTCACGGGGAATTCGACAAGTAGAGTCACGGGCCAGCATCGAAAGGGACCTTTGTTTACTTATGTAGTTATTCTAAGTAGTTTTTTTAATGGATCCATGACATCTTGTTAGTATCATGTCAAAAATACAAATATTTTGTTATATAACACATATAATAGCTTGGTGAACCGATTAGAAAAGTTGGCTCGAGGTAAACAGTCTAGAGCAGTCTCAACTCGGTGATAGACTTAATCTCGTTAGGAAGCTCAGTGTGGTAGGTGTGGTAGCTTTAGAGACGACACAATTATAGCTCGTGGATATATAGAGGGTCGACAACTTTAAGCTCAGCTTGGAGAAGACTCGTAGTGGCTTGGAGGGAAGCTGACCCATGGGGTCTGTTAATGCATAGTAAGAAGTATAGCGCGGGAAGTGTCAAGAGGACGTTTCAACGACTTAAGGACCTAGAAACCATATCAAGGAAGGATATAGAATACGGCTAAGATAGTAAGTGTATCTCGCTTAAAGATATGGGACCTCGGAAACGTTTTATACTAGAAGACGATATAGGTGAATATCTTTTTTCATAATACCTTTCTCGGCTTCTTAATTAGATTACATGCAATATAATTTAGCATATCTCAGTTTATAATTACGAGCGAGATCTCTAACTTGAGCGTCATAGATTTTTCCCACGAAACCCTTACCTGCATATTTTGCTAGTCAACGAAGCTCGAGCTTAGAGGCAGTCTGCGATATTGTCGGTTCAACAAATCTGGTACTAAAGCATAACCGTTTTGTTTGCCATTTAGCGAATAAATGATTGAATTAGCAGATTCTTCTATCAATAATGCTTCTTCTTTCTAGCATGGCGGGAGGGTTGCCTGAAAGTCAGGTCAAGAGCTTAGAGGCAGTCTGCGATATTGTCGGTTCAACAAATCTGGTACTAAAGCATAACCATTTTGTTTGCCATTTAGCGAATAAATGATTGAATTAGCAGATTATACAGAAGGGCTTGATAGAAAAAAAAAATCACCCTATATATTAATTCAAAACGTATTGAACTTAAGTGGCAGGTTCACATGTTTCGTGATCCTATGTGGCAAAATTACATGCTTCGTTATTAGGCATGGACAGATCTTTCAATCAATAAATAATTAGGTCCAGATTATCCTTAAATATGTTGATTTATGATCATATTACATGTATTAATTACATTTTAATATCATTTCTTATTATAACAATTGAATTCTAAATGTATTTTAAAAGTTAATAACATTTTTTGTTATCAATTTTACATATATAATATATCAAATTAATCATCTTTTGATGAGTTTCAATTTAACATACATATTCTATGTATAAAGAAATAAATTATATTTATCTTTATAACCATAATAAAATTGTTTTGTAATGTTAATTAGAAAAATAAAATAATTTATCAATTAATATATTTCTATTTCAAGTAATTATATGATATAAGTTATAAAAATTACTATAATATAACACATGCAAGTCGCACAAGTAACATTTATCATTTTAAAATATATAATAATATATATTTTTTGTAAAAAAGTAAATAAAATAATTTTCCTCATTAATTTAAAAATTTAAGAATAATTTTTTAACAAGCATCCGTTTAATATACGAATGATGTACTAGTAATTATTTAATATGTAAAAAGTAAATAGATTTACAATCATCTATTCCAAAAAGCATATATATTGAGCTTTTTTTCAAAATTATTTTTTCTTTGATATATGGTTTGAGAAATCAAACACCCAATCTAAAATTAAGGTCTCTAACTCAACCCACAAAAGGGAGGAGTATTTAAGACTCTCTCCTATTCATAATAAGTGTCATTTTAAGAAGTTGCACGGTTATTAAGAATATTTTTTGTGCCAATAATAACCCTCATTAATGAGGATAGAGATGAATGCTTTTAGAAAAGATGAAGAGTTAATATGAAAAAATGTAGTGTATTTATTAGCTAGATGGAGGTAATAATGAAAAAAAATGTATAAAATATCCAAAACGATATTTATTTTGTTAATAGTTGATAATACTAAAATGACATTTAAAAAAAATATGAGTATTATGGTTTTTCTTTTTTGTTCGAAAAGACAGAATTGAAAAGTGGCAAAAAATAAAGGAAAATGTAGATTCCCATGTCTTATTCAAAATCCCATATTTATTACAACTTTTTTATGGTAGTTGTTGTCCAATTATATCTTTCTTAGTGAATCATGAATATAAATGTCATGCGCAAATATATTCAAATAATCTCCTTTATGACTTTTTTGTACGAAACTAATAACAATAATAATAACGAAAAAAACAATGAACTCTGCCGCAACCCTACCGTTTACAACTCGCAACGCCGGACTGACGCCTTTCGATCCCGGCGATCCTCAACAAATTGGTACTGATTTCCCAGTGTTGGATCGACAGGAGCTTCTGACAACCAAGCGTTCTAAAACCCTAAAACGTGCGGGGGAAGTTTTGGAGAGGCAAACTTCGCCGCCCCCTGCCAAAACCCCGGGTGTCCAGCCCCCGAGATGGACCTTTCGTGACATGGTCACAAAACAAAGGAATCATGTGGATCTGCTATCCGATGATGAAGGCCAGGATCCCGAGGAGGAAGAGGAGGTATCGGTGGACCTCGAATGCCCTTTGCCGGAGATTCGAATTGGGCAGCGTTTCTTTGATCGGATTCACAATGAGTGGAGAACTGCAGTAGTCTTAAGAACGTTTGACGAATCGCTCACTATGGCCTCCTTGTATAATAGGCTCTCGAAGATGTGGCCCTTTATGGCCGGGTGTAATATGATGGACCTCGAGAACGGATTTTACCTTGTCCACTTTAATAAATTTGAGGACGCGGTTAATGTCCTTAC